AGCCCCCTTGACAGCATCGAATCGACGCCTTGCTGGATAGGATGCCCTCAAGGTCGGAGCAACGCGCCGTTCCCTCACATGAATGAATGCAGGAGAAGCTTGAGACATCCGAGCACTGCACGTCATGTTGACATGTCTGTTGTCTGTCTGTCTATCTGCTTGATGCGTTCGATTCAGGAGGCAACACGATCCAATTCTGCCCTAAGGGCCTCAAGGTCTGTGCCTGCGAAATCAACTCCGACCCACGTCGACGACGCACAAGAGAACTTCAAGCTATACGGTTGGTGCCTCCGCCTGTGTATGGCTGAGTGGACCCATGAGCGGCCTGCCACACTGCTCCCTCTCTCTCTCTCTCTGTGTGTGTGTCTGTGTGTGGGTGTGTGTGTGGGTGTCAGGCGTCACCCCTGCCCGCATCTGCAAGGAGTCCTTCTATGCTTTCGTCGACCGCACCAAACAGCGAAAGCATCGATGCGACCTGGTACGTAGGCAGACAGCATGCCCACGTAGGCACACACACAAGGTGCATGAGTGCATTCGTGTGTCGCTTCGTTTGTGTGTGACTGCAGGTGTTTGCTGACCTCCCATGGGGCGGGGCGGCATTCGTCAAGGGGCAGCGGACCTTTGACATCACCAAGATGGGCTACGAGGGTGAGAGGAAGGAAGATGGACACACACCACACACACGGAAGCACTCATATCTCTCTCTCTCTCTCTGTGTGTGTGTGTGTGTGTGGCTCAGTCGGTGTTCGATGTGTTGGCCGATTGCGAGGCCATCACCGACTCGTTTGCATTCAAGCTCCCACGCAACACGCCCCTCCAAGCGGTGGTGAGTCTTAACACGTCACATCCATCCATCCATCAGACAGACGGACATGTGTGTCGTCTGCTTTTGTGTTGTGTTGTCGTCATCGATGTGTGTGCAGGCCGAGTTGGGCGCCTGGAAGGCGACAAGGGAGCTGTATGAGAACGGCCACGAACTGGTCAGCTACCGGCCCCCAGTGATAGATGCCTACCTGACGCGCCTCCTAGCGAGGAGGGGCGGCGGCTTCAACTACAAGCTGAAATACATCACCGCCTACATCGGCAACATCGCTGAGCGGTACGTATGTGCACAACGGAGCCCCCGCCACACACTACACACGTGTCTCCATCCATGTGTGTGAATTGTCGTGTGAGCAGCACTTCGAAGAAGCTGCCCCCCCCACCATCACCTGGTGCCCCGCCCACACCACCGTGGAGGATCGCGTGATGAGCCTGGTGGATAGCGGTGCTCGCCGTGTCTCGTCATGTCAGGCCCCACAACGGTGAGCCAGCGACACGACCTCACTGAAACAAATGCATCCATCCATCCATCCCTCGGTCCACGCGTCATGGTGTGCTGTGGTGTGGTGTACGCAGGCCGATTATCGCTACCTACATTTTATATTACGTGGCCCATTTCTTCAATTGCTCGCCGCCTGACCGGTCGTCGAGGCTTATGTGACGCGAGTGCGGAGGGGCTGCTCCGCGCCTCGCAGGACCAAAACGCGCAAGCTGCGAGCTCGAGGTAAACGAAAACGTTTTGTCGCGCCTCGGCGCGGAGGGGCCGCACCTCAAGGAGAAAGATCGCTTGGCGCGGGCGCAACCCTGCCCCTACACGGCGCCTGCTGCGACGTCGGGCGTGCAAGCGGACAGGATGAGTCACTGAAGTGACGCGGCAGATGAGGCGGGTGGTCTCGACAGTGACCTCCCAAGCTGACGAGGAAGGAAACGCACCAGAGTACGTTTGTGTGTGTCTGTATATGTGTGTGTGTGTGTGTGTGTGTGCAGCTGGTGTTGAGTCGCAGGCTGTGGTGATCGATCACCACTGGTCGGCCCGACCTCACCAGAGGACGAGCCGCACAAAGTACACACACAGCCGCCTGGGTCAGACTCGCAGCCACACTCACTGCCTGTGTGTCTCTGTGTGTTTCACTTCTTGCTGAGCGTGGTGTGGCCCAGACGACCACCAGCAGCAACAACAGCAGTAGCAGCAGCAGCAGCAGAGAGGAGGCCAGAGGCACCAAAAGGGAAGTCACCATCGGCCCCCGCGGACAGATCGATCATGTGTGAGTGAGAGTAGACAGACGGCCGACAGACGCACAGACAGACAGACAGACAGACGGTCTGTGTGCTCGTGTGTGCGAGTGAGATTATGAAGACACAGACGGCCTGGCCCGTCTTGTGTTAACTGAATTGTCGCTGTTCGTGTCTGTCTGTCTGTCTGTCTGTCTGAGTGCGTTTCATGGCCATGGATGTCTTTGTGTGGCGCAATTGGTTCGTTCAACCATCATCTCTTGGTGTCTCTTGCCCGCCCTCCATGTCCACGCAGGGCCCAACCCCTCACACTCGCCCCTCCCAGCCCATTCACTCACCCCCGCCCCCCCTCAACCACTCTCCCCCTCCAGAACTCTGCTCACAGTTCGATCTCCATTCGCCCGCTAGCGCTGTCACCAGCAGCAGCAGCGCCCTCCGCCCCGCAGGTCACCATCATCTTGTTGTTCTCGTCGCCCCAGTCTAAGCTGCCGGCGGCGATTGCGTCAGCGTATCGCATCTGTGACTCCCGGATCTCTCGGGCGCGGGCCTCCAAGTCCAGCCGCATCTCGGGCGGCAGGGGGCGGTTGTCGGGATGGTCGGGGTCGAGATTCCAGTTGCGCACCAGGGGTTCCTGGCTGAGCCACGGGTGGGGTTCCCAAGTGCTGCCCTTGCTGCCGCCATCGCCCATTAAGGGGTCGTCGTCTTGCGAGAGGATGGACTCCTTGCGGCCCAAGGACGAACCCGAGTAGCTGCTCATGAAAGCGGCGCTGGTCGCGGTGCGGCTCTTCTTGGCGGGGGGCTCGAGCGTGTCGGCGCCACCACCTGAAGACGACAAGGCCAGCAATCAGCAGACAGACAGGGAGACACCATGAGAGATGGGGACCGCTGGGGTGATGTCTTGCGTGTGTACCGTCCTGCAGCGAAATGGATCCGTGGTTGCAGAAGCCTCTCTGCTTATCCTCCAAGCCAAATAAAAACTGAAGGCACACAAAGCAGTGATACAGAGAGAGAGTCTCTTGGCGGCTCGGTAGATGTCTCCTTCTGTGTGTCTGTCAGTGACCTCTTGATTCGGACGACTGATGCGAAGGCCGCAGCCCAGCCCATGTGCGTGTGGATGCACGCCCACTCGCGGATGGAAGCTGTCGTCTCCCTCCCAGGGGCGTCTCCGCTTCTTCTCGTTCTCGTTGAGGGTCGCCTGCAGTTTGGCCCAGCTGGGCGGCCCTTTGTGTCCTCCGGCCGGCTGGTCGGCGGCATCACTCTCCCCGCCTGTCTTCTTGCTGCATCGCCTGTCGAAGATCTTGGTCAGCTCGATGAAGTCATCCGGATCGAATCTGTTGAAGCGGCGACCCTTGTAGAGGCAGTTGTTGTCCTTGTCGTAGCGGCGCTCCTCGAAGCGACCCCACTCGTTCTCGTCAGGGAATACGTACGACTTGCCGTCTTTGGGAGGGTCGAAACTGGCACCGAGTTGGATGACTCTGGGCGGGCTGCGGTGTGCCTGCTGGCCTCCAATGGCGGACTCACCACGCTCCTTCTGGTCAGTCTTGGCCATTTCAAACTTTGAGGGCTTTGCGGAGGCCGTCTTGGGCAACAGTGTGTCGGGCGCCAGTTGCATCATCACCAATTCAGCTTCATCAAAGGTATCTGTCCGTTTGTGCGATTGACGGCCGAAATACGCGTCTTCATCAGAGTCAGAGTCATTGTCAGATCGCTCATATCGTCTCGGTTGCATCTCGAGGGGCTCAAGCTTCGAAGGCCGCTCGGAGGCCATCGGCACACTGCGTTTGGATGAACGGGGCGGCTTGGACGGCTGGCGTCTTCTCACCGCGCGTGGTTTCTTGGCCATCTTGACAGCCGGGGTGGTCGCCACGATGGGCGCGGTGAACGGATCCACCTCTGCAAAAGAGAGACAGCAAGTGGCGGTGGCCCTTAGCGTGTCTCTTTGCCTGCCTTCTGACCGTCAGTGCCGAGTTGTTTCTTTCTCTGCTGCCGCCCGAAGCGGCTCAACGCCTGGGCAGCCCCTGTGTCAACAACGTCCTCGAGAGCCAGAGACTGCAGAGACATCTCCACGACATTCCCATCTGATCGATCACACACATGGAGAGGGAGGAGACCTGATCTGGCCTTTGTGTGTCTCATTGATTGTGTCCTTGCCGTCCGTCGCCGGCTTGACCTCCTCAGCAACAGAAGCTGCACCACAGACAAACAAGAATGGGCCCCCAGTGAGAGAACCCGAAAGACACGGCAGACAGCCACAGCCCTCCCATTCTCTCTCTGTGTGTGAATGTCTCACCCCCCGAGCTGCTCTTGCTCTGGCGTGTGATGTCGAGCGGCACGGTTCCGTCCGTAGAGCGGTTGAGGGGCGAGGTGTCCACGGTCGTGTCGGTCGCCAGCCGCTCCATGTTGTCGACATCCCCATCGACCTTGTCTTCCTCCTCTGTCTTGACCGACGCTGTCACCTCATTCTTGGCGTTGAAAGTGCGGCTGCGGAGTCCTTTGGCGTCGATCTTGCCGAGGATGTCATGCGCCCACTCGTAGTCGGCCAGGTGTTTCTTGATGAAGGTCAGGCGCTGCACAAACACACACACAGAGAGCCGACGGAGACACAGAGGCAGTGGACAGACAGAAGGTCGATGGCCCACAACACATGCATGACCGGGCCGTCGGACACACACTCGTGGCGCCCATGGCCCTCCCCTCTCATGCTCCCAGGCTGTCTCCCCTCTCCCCCTTCCCCCCTCCCCCAGGTCAGCCGCTTACTCTCTTGCAGGCCGTCTTGCACACGGGCCCTGGATTGCCCGCGTCGGCACAGAGCTTCGCCCAGTCGTCCGTCGTCACTAGGTCGGCCATGCACGCATCCTTCTTGGCGGTGGTATCGGCGTCCTTCTCCTCGAGCTCCTTCATGAGCTTCTCCTCCATCTCTGGGCACCATTTGTGCTTACCCTTCGGGTCGCGGTTGAACTTCTCCTCCTCCTTCTTCTTCTCCTTCTCCTTCATCTTCTCGAACTCTCGAACTTGAGCGGAAGGGGAGACTGCGAGCTGACCCCCAAACCCTAAGCCCCCATCTTCTCGAACTTCCCCTTGGGAGCGCGGCTTAGCAACTCTCACCGACAGTGAGTGCGACGCGATTGGCTCGCCACGAGTCATGATGTGGCTCTGCGTCCTCGGTGTGTCGGTGTCGTGCTGTGCAGGCCGGCCTTGGTGACCGGGCGGACTGATTGAGCGCCTTTATGCCATTTGACTCATAGCTAGGTGGGCGAGCACACACATGACACATATGCATGCAGTAGGTGTCTGCCCATCTCTTGTTGCCTCTCTGTGTGTGCCGGTGCAGCTGTCGGTGTCTGTTTGAGTGAGATGTCTGGAGGCCACGACGCCGCACCGATGGCCTCCGCTGCCATGGCGGACGGTGACGGTGACGACGCAGGTATGCCACACACAGATGAATGGGATACATCAAACACACACCATCCTCGCAATTGTGTATGTGTGTGTGTGTGTCTTCGATGGTGTGCAGACGATGTAGCTGAGGAGGAGCATAGCGGCAGTGGACAGGCGGAGGACTCAGATCGCAATGGCGCAGACAGCATCGGCATGCCCTCTGCTGCCACGGCGGACCGTCACAACGGCGACGCAGGTACGCCACACACAAATCTATAGGACACCCACACACACACACACACACACACCATCCCGCTATGTGTCTGAGTCTATGCGGTTGTGCGTTTACTTGTGATGGCGGACCAGCAGAGGAAGACGATCGCAGCGGCATCGACAGCGGTGAGTGACCAACCAGTCGACATCATGTCACATAGACCAGTCAACCCACCAGCAGCACAGCGCACTGATGTGGGCTCTGTCGGTGCGTGCCGTGTGTCTGTGTTCAGACGAGCAGCAGCAGGAGGGCGGGGTGGCCGACGAGATGGCCGATGAGGAGGAAAGTCCACAGGCAGGGGCCGATAGCGAACCGGTGAGGCACTCATGAACACACTCCCCGTCGATATGATGTCCGTGACGTTCTTCCTTGCCCCTTTGTGTGTGGTGTCGGGATCCTATGCAGGAGGCGGATGGTGCTGGCGACGACAGTGAGGATTCAGACGATTGGGGTTTCTCATCCGGCGACGACTACGAGGAGGCGGATGGTGCTGGCGACGACAGTGAGGAGTCAGACGATTGGGGTTTCTCATCCGGCGACGACTACGAGGAGCATGGTACGCCTGACAGACAGACGTGACGATGCTCTACACACACACTCACTGTGTGCCTCCCTCGTGTGGGGGCTCTGTGCACTGCAGGTCATCCTGTGGTGGCGGCCACTGGCGTGACTGTGCCAGACGGCTGTGCGGGCCCCACTGACATCGAGGCTCGCTTCCCCCTCGGCACCAACGAGGCCACCAAGCAGCTGACGCTTGGCGTCATCGGCCGCACCATCACCCCACACCAAGTGACCAACCTCATTCGGCAGCAAGGAGCCGACCCAAACACCATCCCTCGGCTGCGGAAGAAGGGCAGCAGTGACACAGGCCATCGACAGACGTTGTTGGGCCTCGCCATTGCCGATAAGACCGACTGCTCCATCAGTTCCGTCGCAGCAGGGGGCGATGATGGTGCCCATGATGTGTACCTGCCGCAGTGGTCGTCAGATGGGCTGGAGGAGGGCATCCTGACCGCACTCATCGAAGCAGGCGCCGACCTCAACGCGGTCATGTCGGACAGTTTCCTCCGAGAGGCGATCCAACGGGGCAGCAAGACGGCCTTGGACGTACTGATGGCTCGTCAGGACATCGTCCTGCGCCAACCAAGCGCACACATGCTGATGGAGCTGCCCCGTCCCGTGCGTCCGCCTCCCCCCGAGTATCCGCAGGTGCTCATGTCGATGTATCGGCAACTCATCCAAGACCGCCCCAGCCTCGCCACCGAAGAACGCTATGGCTACAACCTGGTGGACAGTGCAGCCGGCAACGCGCAGGCCCACTATCCCCAGCCCTTCATCGACAGCTACCTCGACCTCATCACAGCGAAAGGCGCCGACATGACGACAGAGGATGACATTGGGCGGACGCCACTGCACTGCGCGGCAATGGAGGGCTCCCCGAAGGTGGCCGACTACCTCTGCCGCAAGCTGCCCGCTGACCAGATCAACAGACAGGACGGTCTCGACGACACGCCCCTCGCCCTGGCTGCCTTCAACCTCGATCGCCGCCTGGAAGCTGAGGAGGCCGAGATTCCCAACCTCAAGCTGATTATCCGTTCGCTGCTGCGGGCGGGAGGCGATATCAATCTCATCCCCACAGCCACAGAGGAGTACCGCCGTCAGCGCCAGCTGGTGCTGACCGAGTATGCGACAGTGCTCAACGCGCTGCCCACTGCCGTCATGGCGGCCGTCAACGCCGCCCTCGCCCCCCACCGCTCCCTCGCTGGCCTCCTGACCCCCCGGCTGGCCGTCGGCCCGCAGGAGGCCCCCATCTTCGGCTGGCGCATCGCGTCATACCTCTTCGACATGGATGCCGCCCAGAAGGCCACCACAGAGGAGGCCATCAGTGTGCGGCACACCGACATGGCCCGCCGTGTGTGTGCGGTAGCGGAGCACTTCGTCCGTTCGGCAGTGTACCAGGCCAGCAGCAACAGGAAGGTGGTGGGCGGGACGGTCAGTGTGGGCGGCCAGGTGGTGCGTGTGCCGCAGCTGCAGTGCTTCGTGGTGGGCGGTGTGGATGGCCAGCGGATGGAGTTGCGTGAGGTGGTACAGCGGGCCATCCTGGACGAGGCGGCCAAGTGGGGGCTGGCGGGGGAGATTGACAACGGCTTCAGGAAGGATGTGCCTGCGGTGGTGTGGGGGGCGGTGGGGTGGGTCGACAAGGGGAGAGACGGGAGGGAGTCCTTCAGACGGCTGAGGATGACATGAGACAGGCAAACAGGTGGATGAGGGTGGGCAGGCAGGCTGAGAGATTTTGATGTGTGTATGGGTGGCTGTTGCTCTTTGATCGATTGCTTCTGCTTCCTGCCTGCCCGACCCTAACTAATCATTATGTGTGTCACCGGTCGGTGTATCTCTCTAGATGTGCGGCTCGATATATGCGATGGGTCGGGTAGGGCGGTGGTGGGGCGATAGAGAGAAAGGGGTGTGGCCGGCAGGCAGGCAGGCAGGCAGATGGGATGGGCGGAGAGATGTCATCCATCGTGTATACACTCACCCATTCCTTCACACGATGATGGCTCATCTGCTGCCGAAGTGATCGACACAATATTTAGCCTTCCGGCTGGCTGGGTAGCGGGGCTGCATTGTGACGTGCTGAATGACATTCCATGGTCAATGAAGGCTGCTTGGTGCCCGTTGTGGATCGTGTGTCTGCTGGGAGAGTCATCCATCGCTCACCGCCACCCACAAGTGCGTCCATCCACTGTGTCAATCGGCCACTTAAGGCATCCCCGCACACCCACACGCCATCGCGTCATCGTTCTCTCTCCATCATGCTCTCGCTTTTCGGCTTGTTGGTGTCCCTTCTGCATCAATCTGCACAAGCCTCACACGCCGCGCCCCCAGTGCGGCTTGGGGATACACAGACACACACTCACTGCATGCCATGCGAAGAGAGCAATGACACGTTACACACGAGCCCAAAAAGCAGGGCGGGTGACGAAGGCAACAACAAGGCGTGCACTACAACATCACACAATGAATGTTCACATAACGAGACAGGCGAGTCGCCCACCACCCGCCAGTGCACTGCTGGTGGCCGCATTGTCGCTGTCCCTCTTGGTGCCACCTGCACCGCTCGATGGTGTGATGACTGATGCGTCAGCCACTAGATGACCTTGGACACTGTGAGGGCCAGCCAGCAGACGAGCATCAGCAGCACCTTGTTTGCGTATCGCGCCTTGATCCCATGTTAGTCGACGAACACCTGCGACACGTAGACGGTGTTCTCCACCACGCGAATCAACAGGACGACCAGGCACACGCTAACAGTCGGGGAAGAAGGGAAACAGAGGAAGCATTGTTTGAGTGACAGACAGCTAGCCCCGAGGGACCACCAATGCGAAAACGACAGGCGGACGTGCCAGCGCCACTTACCCAGCTCTCTCTCTCACTCTCAGTCCTCACTGTCCAAACACAGTGGACCAGCCCGAACAAGGAACCAGCACGTGCCACATACATCCAAGCATAGAGTTACGCTTGCCTTCGTACGTATCTGTCTTTTAGGCTGTCTGTCTGTCTGAGGCGACGTACCGTGAGTTGGTTTGCGTGACCATCCGCCCTCTGGGGCGGCCGGGCGGGCGCAGCCAAACGCCCACCAGACTGCGACCTGCAATCCTCACGGGCGAAGAAGTCCTGTCAAGAAGGGACCATCAGAAAGGACTGTCCCTTCTGCCACAAAAAGCACAAGCTCGTCTTGTAAACCGAACGGGCGGACGCAACTCCACATTCCCTGACCGACCCACACGACGCAAGAACGTGCGAGTGTCTATCGTATCGCCGTCTGACCTACCGTGGGCGTAGTCGCAGTATGTGTCGCTGATCACACACACAACGTGCCCACGCGTGGATCCCTTGGCACTTCCATCTTTCGTGCACAACGCACCAACGCACCTTTCTGAGGTCAGGTTTGGCCCTGAGCTCCTCCATCGAGTGGGCAAATGTGCAGTCAGACCCCCGCTGACATCGGCTCTCGCTGCATACTGCCGCACAGCCACACATCGTCATGCAGCAGGAGATCCCGGATCATATCAATCACAATCAGGGTGTGTTCCCTTCCTGGCCCGTGTGTGTGTGCCGTGTGTGCTGCTTACACGAAGAAGCGACAGATTTTGGTTTTGTAGCACTGCATGCCGGACATCAGAGAGGCAGGGAGGGAGGTGCCTGCCGGGATGGATCGAAGATACACACAAGTTGGCTGAGCACTTACAGATCTGCTGATCGATTTCGGCGTTACCTTGTCCAGTGCACTCTGCTGCCATGAAGTATTGTCCGCCCTGCACCAGATCCACCAATCCACGTCACTCAGGGACACGTGTAGACGGGCAGATCGACAAAGGCCCTTCGCGGCGCTTCTCAGGGAGCGCACTTCAAACTGCGAGCTTTGGACTGCGAGCTCCAAAGCTCGCAGAATTCAGCGGTCGGCGTCTAGCAGAGAGAAGAAGAACAAATCCTTTCTGCTGTCACAGCTGGATCGAGGTGACATCGAGTGCACACAAATTTGCGAAAGTCAGCGGTGAGGCCGCGCTGCTAAGTCGCCACAAGGCGGAAGCCACTTGTCAGGCGTGTTGCGAGGAGCCACTGTCAGGCGCTGTTAACGAGCCCCAATTAGGGCGCTGCAACAAGACCAGGACGGTGGGCAGGGAGGGGCCAAAGGGGGAGGAAAGGTCGCTGCATTCACGCCATGATGACGTGTGTCGCTGCACTGCATCGGACGTGACGCGAAATGAGTGCCTTTGCTGTGTGTGTGTTGTGTGGTGCAGGTCTGCGAGGAGTTGATAAGGATGGAGTTCATCACGTGAGGCGAGAGCAAAGCCACGTGGTGCACCCCATCGTTGACTGGCTGCCGTGTGCTCTCTGACAGGGGAGTGTGGGGTATTCTGACGAGATGGATAGCGAGGCTGAATGACGCACACAACACCACAACGGTCAGGAGAAGCCCACATTTCTATGCCACTTGTGTCACCCTCTGCCCATCTGCCCCACTGTCGGGCCGCATTTCATCTTCTCTCTCTTTCTCTGTGTTGGCTGCGTGCAGCCCGATGACGAGGAACCCAGAATGTCCGTCATGGACATGCTGATGGAGGAGATATTGCCCACGAGACCCCCACCCGTCGCCTTCTTGAAGGCCAATCTCATGCTGCCCGATGGCACCGTCATCAAACACACCAGTGAGCTAGCGACACGACCGCACTGAAACAAATGCATCCATCCATCCATCCATCCATCCATCCCTCGGTCCACGCGTCATGGTGCCGTGTGGGCCGTGCAGGCTTCAAGAAATCTGAGGGCGAGTTCGTGTTTGGCAAGCGCCGCAGCCAGGGCACGTTCAGCTTCGCGGACGGTGCGGTGTTCGAGGGCCAGTGGGTCAACGGCGAGCTGCATGGCCACGCCGAGTACCTGTACGCCGACGAGGGGGTGTACCAGGGCGAGTGGCGCGACGACAAGCGCCGCAGCGAGGGCGCCGTGACGTCCGGTAGCGCCGAGGGTAACGTGGTGGAGGAGAAGTACGAGGGCGAGTGGGTCAACGGCGAGGCCGAGTACCTGTACGCCGACGAGGGGGTGTACCAGGGCGAGTGGATGCACGGCAAAGGCACCTACATGTTCCCCAATGGCAACGTCTACGAGGGCGAGTGGGTCAACGACATGAAGGAGGGGTGAGTGACCACGCACACACACAAAAGGCAACGAACACAATACACCTTCCCCATCTCTCTCTCTCTCTCTCTGTCTCTGTGTGTGTGTGTGTGTGATGCCCACCCACTTGCATGCCATCAGCTCCGCCACGCTGACCTGCCAGAAGGTCGAGAAGTACGAGAACACCTCGATGGGACATGAGAAGGTCAGGTCACTCACCACTGACTCACCCCCAACACAGATGTACTACAGACAGATCCACAGACTGGTACACACGTGTGTGTGTTGGGTGCGTCTGTCTGTAGGTGATAGTCGGGACCAATGAGTTGCAGGACGCCGCGCAGAGGACTGCTGCGTGCGAGGCGGTGATCGAGACCACCGCGGGCGAGGTGCCCGTCTCCGCCGCATCCAAGGCCAAGGTGCGTACGCCACTCACCCCACCCACCCCCAACACACGGTATGTCTGTGTGTGTCGGGGTGTGTGTGTGTGTTGTCTGTAGGAGGAGGACGGCAGCGACGCCGCCGACACGACGCAGCACCACAACCACAACCACAGCACATCGGTCAGGACGACCGCACCACACAGACACACACATGCATCCCCCTCTCATGTATCTCGATGTGGCTGCCTGTCTGCCTGGTGTGTTGTGTGTGTGCAGATGGCCAACTCACTTGTCCGTGGGAGGGAGGAGGACAACGGGGAGACCGGCCCATCAAGGTATACACCAACACCAAGGCGTCTACACACACACAGACGGGAGATGTATGTGTGTATGGGTGTGCACACAGCGACTTTGCCGTCCGTGTGGCGGCTCATTTCGAGGCGCAGCGTCAGCTGGTGCTGGAGCAACTCAAGGAGGCCGAAACCTTCAGGTAATCAATGCACACACACACACACCTGCCCGCCCGCACACCAATGAACCCATCGTGTGTGTGGATGCTGACGGACGCGCCGCCTCTTTCTGTCTGTGTGTGTCTGTCAGAGCTATGGAGGAGCACCACGCCCGCACCCGGGAGGACAGCAGCGCAACATCGTCGTCGGCCATGGGCAACTGGCCGACTGGCCCTCCCAACTGGGCCGACTACATCAAGGTCGAAGAAGACCACACCCCCACTGAAACCACCGCCAGTGACGTGAGTTACATAGCAACGGCAATTCATGGGTGGATGCGGGCATACGGCTGACGACACACCGTCATGTCTGTGTGTGTGTGTGTGTATGTGATAGGAGAGCGATGACGAGGCTGTCGAGGAGATCCCGCCGCCCCCCACCAAGGCCATGGTGAGGGAGGAGACACACACGGGCTGCTCAGCTGAGCACACACACACACATAGATGACGTGTGTGTGTGTGTGTGTGTAGGTATACTACGAGCTGGCGCAGCTGGTCGGCAAGTATGCCAACAAGAGCTACGTCCGCCAAACGCATGGCACCTGGGGCGTCGTGATACTGGACGTCAAGGTAGTGGACGTCACATGGGATGATGTACTGACCCGCCGCATCTTCGCCAACGACAGTGCCAAGCTGTCGACCAAGGAGATGCGGTGCGTCTGAATGCACCACACCACACCACTTCCACACACATGGATTGATGGATGGATGGATGGGTGCTGTGTGCTGTGTATGCGTGTGTATGCTCTATGCTCTCAGGGAAGGCGCGTCACCGGAGAGCATCGCGGCGATCACCGCCCAGACAGTGGCGGCCAGTGTGTCCCGGGGCGGCAAGGTCCTCGACCTATGCATGG